GTATATGTATTAATTTATATATACCTGTGTATGTGTCTATTCATCATAAAACTAATTTTTTAAATGTTGATTTATAATGCAGAATATGGCTGGGGACCCCGCTTGGTGATAGAGTACTTGCCTACCATGTGAGAGGCCCTAGTTCTATATGCAGCAACCCCTCCTTCATAAAAAAGGGCAGGATGGTCTCATTAATAAGACCATGTCCTGGTGTATTTGCACAGTGCCCTCTCCTTGCAGAACCCCTTCCAGCACAGCCAATGAACTGAGGTAAAAAGTTCTGATGTTTAAAGACTCAGAAAATGAAATGACCTGACAATCCTGCCCTCTCTTTTTGCATGAGGACACAGTCCATGTTGGTAAAGGTGTCCTGACCCCTAAAGTAAAAGATGAGAAATCAGAGCAGATGAAGAGGGGACATTACCAGAGACGGTTCTGGAAATCCCAATTTTTAATGTCCCCAAAGGTATTCAGTTTCTAGAACCCCACAATTGTACTAAGCGACTTCCCCCAAAACCATCCACCCTTTACATTGCCGTTTTATCTGCCTGTCTGAATTCTGAGAGTCTGTAGAAGTTAGGTAAAGCAACTTAGGCTCAACGATAAGGCCATGTGGCTTCATATCACCCACCAGCTCTGTGACTTTAGGAAGAAAAAGTATCTGTAGCCTACATTTTGTTCTATAAAACATAGACAGTAAGGGTACTTACCTGCAGAGGGGATTGTCTGGAATAAATAAGACAGTGCATGGAACAGGCTTAACAGTGCCAGACATAAAATAAGAAATGTTCCTCTATTGATGTCAAGCCATCCACAATATCTGCTAAGCACCTTATACTATACTAATTATTTTGTTAGATGTAAGATAAGACCTTCAAGGCCAAAGTTGAGTAGAAAATTTAGGCAAAAGCAAGACTTTCTTAAGTACCTAGTTCTACTTTTTTGGTCCAAACAATCTACACTAACATCACCACTTTCCTGTTTAACTAGGTCTGTTCATTGTCACTCAGGCTCAGCCCCATAAAAGTGGCACTTCATAGGCTGAGACTTTGTGTCAGATCCATGCATATAGTTTCTGTCTATGACCCTTAGTCCAATTTGGTACTCCAAAACCCTTAATCAGCTGGGCTCAGCTCTTGACCATCAGATAATCCACAAGTCCACCCCAGGGAATGGTAACTCTCAACTTGACATGTCAGTAAGGCTCAGAAAATGTTGCCACTGGCTTCAAGCTACCTTGCTGTATGTGAACCTCATAGAGTTCTTTGGGAGAGATTTTCTTTCTTAAAATATTTTACTTATTATTTTTATTTTATGTGTATGAATGTATTGCCTGCATGTATCTAAGTGCACCCATGTTGTGCAGTGCCCACAGAGATCAGAAGAGAATATTGGATTCCACTGAAAATGGAATTGTAGATGATTGTTAGCCACTATGTGGGTTTTGGGAATCAAACCTGGGTCCTCTGCAAGAGCAGCCAGTGCTCTTAACCACTCAGCAATCTCTCCAACCTCTTGTTTCGTGTGTGTGTGTGTGTGTGTGTGTGTGTGTGTGTGTGTGTGTATGTGTGTGGCCATACATAAGTGTATGTGTATATGAAGGCCAGAGGACAGCCTTGGGTATCATTTCTCAAAAGCTCCCTACCTTGTGTTTTGAGATAGGGTCTCTTATTGGCCTGGGGATTGCCAATTGGGTTGGTCAGCAAGCAGAGGGATCCTCTTGGCTCTGCTTTTCCAGACCTGGGATCACAAGCACACACCACCTACCATGACTGACTTCTTTAATGTGTGTTTTGGGGATCAAACTCAGGTCATCACGCTTGTGTGTCAAGAGCTTTATCAACTGAACTATCACCCCAATCCCTCTTGTTTCATTTTTATATCCTACGAATTTGTCAACTAGGCATCATAATGCCACCCAAAATTGGGAGGCTGGAACTGGAATCTCCCACATAGTGCCTGTGTCACCACAAGTGCATATGGAAAGGCAATAAATCTGTCTATATATTTTTACTTTTATTTTGATGTGATTATACATTTACATATAATTATAAGAATTAATATGAGAGATCCTTTACCTTCTTCTATAATCAGAGCAAAATTTCACAAGCAGGAATAATCCACCAACGTTATTCATATTTCAACAATTTTGCATGCACTCACATGTGTGGACATACACGTGCCAAGTTCTATGCAATTTTGTTACATGTTTAGATTCATATAGCTGCATTACAGTCAAGGTGCGAACAGTACCCTTTCTCCCTTGTTCTACCCCATCAACCACTAATCTGTTCTCCATCTCTGTGATTTTTGTCATCTCAAGGATGTTATATAAATGGCATTGTGTAGTTAGTATATATTTCCTTAAGATTGGTTTTTCCTTTCTTAGCATGATTCCCTGAGCTACATCCAAATTGTTGAGTACATCAATAGTTCATTCCTTTTTATTGTCAAATTGTAGTCTGTGAAATGGCTGTACCTCATTTGCCCTCTTCCACTTTGGGTTCATTCAAAATAAAGCTGCCTTGAGCATTCATGTGTAGATGTTTGTGTTTTATTTCTCTAGGATAAATACCTACAAGTACAATTTCTGGGTCTTGTAAGGAATTGTCATATTGTTTTCTCCAGTGCCTGCACCATCTTACATTCCCACCAGCAATGTATGAATGATGGATGGTCTAGTTCCTCCACCAGACTTTGTCATCACTTTTTAATTGTAACTATGCATATGTGTATATAGAGATTATCTTGCTGTGGTTTCAATTAGCATTTTCCTAATGGCTAATGACATTGAACATCTTTCCATTGCTTGTTTGCCTTCTGTATAATCCTCTTCAGCAAAATGTTTGATCACGTCTTTTGCCCATGTCTAATTGGGTTGCTTGTTATTTTGCTATTTAGTTTTAAGAGTTCTTTTTATATTCTAGCTACAAGTCCTTCCCCAGATATGTGCTCTGTAAATATTCTCTCCAGTCCATAGTCTTTTCATCTTCTTTAAAGTATCTTTTTGAGATCAAATTTTTTTTATTTTAGCAAGCAAATCATTTTCCATTTATAGATTATGATTTTGCTGTCAAGTCCAAGACCTTTTCGCTAAATACTACATGTGAAGATTTTCTTCTATTTTTGTTTTTTTCTAAAAGTGTTACAGTTTTGTATCTTATATTTAGGTCTCTGTTCTATTGGAATCAATTTTTGTTTTAGATGTGGAGTTTAAATTAAGGTTCAGGTTTTTGTTTGTTTGCTTATTTATGGGTGTCCAATTATTCCTGCACCATTTGAACAACCCTTTTTTGAAAATCAATTTGGCTTTATTTGTCATGAGCCGTAATAATAATAGATAGATAGATAGATAGATAGATAGATAGATAGACAGATGGATGGATTTTTTTTTTCCCTGTCACTCTTGGGAATTCATACTGAGGGAAAAATGTAGAAGCGGGACAAAGCTATACACTTAGAAAATAGTCTCTGTAAGTGTGTGTGTGTGTGTGTGTGTGTGTGTGGTGTGTTTCTGGAGATCAATTCTAGGACTCATATCTGATTAGGCAAGTTTTCTACCACTGAATTAGATCTACTTTGCCCTCCAGCCTTACTCTGTAACATTTTACAAAATAAAACTGAAAAATTGGATGTAATCAAAATGCCTAACAACAGGGAACTAGTTAAATAAGGTACAGACATGGAGTCACATGTGACTATTGAAAACATATTTACTCAATAATTCTCACCCATTCAATATTTATTCTATAAATAAAATAACAGTGAGCAAATGAGACACCATCCATGCCTGCTCAAGGCCCACAGTCTCCAAGAGAGAGTAGAAACAAGAATTCTGGCCCTTAGAAAAGCATATTTGATCAGCTAAGGAAAAAAACATAAAACAGAATTATATGTGCAAGGTTATTGAAAATTGATTAAGGAAAAATGCATATGGGATAGCAAGATGGCTCATTGAGTAAAGACACTTGCCTAAAGCCTGACAAACTCAGTTTGACCCCTGACCCCTGAGATCCACATGGTGGAATGGAGAAAGCTGATTTCTACAAATTGTCCACAGACCCCTATGTGTGTGCCATAGCGTACATACACACAAATAAGCAAATAGATAGGTAAATAAATAAATGTAAAAAATGCATGTGGGGGAAACCACACAACGTCTCTCTTTTAGGGTGATTGTGTCAAAGACAGGTTTTGTTTTTTTTTATCCTTTTTTTTTTTCCCCATACCCTCCATGATATTTTCTTTTTGTGATAAAAAGAACAAGCTAGGTGTAGCGATGTATGCCCATAATTCCTAGACTTGAATTCAAAGTCATCCTCAGCTATGTAGGAGATGGATGCCAGTTTGGGACAGATGAGAGCTTGTCTCAAAAAAATTGATGAAATAAAAAAAAAACTCCAAATAATAACAATAAAAACAACAAAGAGCAAAGCTTCAGTGCCCAGCTAAGTCACACTGGATTATCCAGTCCATCAGCAGGTATCAGTGGAGTGAGGTAGTCTGTATCACATGAAGCACAGAGAATATAAGTTTAAGAATAGGCAGACCCTGACCTCTGAGGCATTTTTAAGAAATTATGATCTCAGTCTTCCTGTGTCTGTTTAGTGCTTCACACTTTGTAGCCTGCTATGATGTGTAGTTGTTGGGAAAGGTGTAATTAGCATTGTTAGACACTAAGGTGCAGAGAGTTTAAGCAACTTACCAAGTCGCATAAACAATATATGGCAGGCCTGGAACTTGGACCTGGGGCTTCTATTGCCAAGGTCAGTGCTGTTCTCAGAATACCACAATTGCATCAAAAATAGCTGTGACAACAGTAGGCTAAACACGAGTAAATAATCAGCAGGGAGTCATATGGAGAGTTTAAACCATGTGGTACAAGCACGAGCCTACAGCAAGGATGGGCTCCTGTCCCCTGCCAAGATTGGGGCTGGGGGGCTTGGCAGGGAGGGGAATGTAATAGTGATACCTGGGCTTACAACTCCTCCTCTCCCCAGATGGTGAAGGCAATCCAGGTCCTGAGGATCCACCTGCTAGAGTTGGAGAAAGTCAATGAACTCTGCAAGGACTTTTGCAACCGTTACATCACCTGCCTCAAAACCAAGATGCACAGCGATAATCTGCTCAGGAATGACCTCGGGGGGCCCTACTCCCCCAACCAGCCCTCCATAAACCTTCACTCACAGGTAACACACAGGGCTGGGTCTTGTCTCCTAAGCCAATGTGTAGAAAGATCTGAAAGACACTAGTGATCTGGGCAAAGCAATTTGAGTCACTGGATCCTTCCACCATGATATCCTCCTCTCTCCACTAGGCAGCAGTCTCCTGGTTTTGTTTGTTTGTTTGTGACAGGGTCTTGCCATGTAGCTCAAGCTAGCCTTGAATTCTTGATTTTCCTTCCTCAGCCACCATGCTCAGCTAGCACAATCCCTTTTTACATAGACCCCACCTGCCAGGGTACCAGTATCCTCTAAATGACCAACTATAGGAGAGTCAGTGTCCAAAGCAATTCCCAAGCTCAAGATTTACCAAGAAATGAGTAATCTCTGGTTCATGAAGGAAAAGTACTTGCCTGGAGGACATCTGGGAAGGGCAGACTCCCAGTAAAATGCCTCCTTTAAAAGACATGAACAGCAGCTCTCGGCATTCCTGGAAGGAGAGTCGGGAAACTGATCCTTCTCCAAATCCTGCCCTCCTAACAGATGAAGACAGATTCCACAGGACTGCTTCTCGTTGCTCATCTTCTACTTGTGCACCCTAACTTGACACCTCTGTCCCCTTAAGGTCCAGGACCACTGAAAATATCACCTCCACCAAACCCTTCCCAAGATTCCCCTGCCACCTACGTCCTGGGAACTGGGGGATGATGAAATGGTACCTATAAGTGCCTATAGTGCTTACAGGAAAGAGTGGGTCCTTCTCTACAGGACAGAAAACTGACTGGTTATTCCTGTGTAACCCCCCCCCCGCATCTACATAAGCTGTTAGGTTCACATCTTTATTTCCCTCTCCTTGAGTTCCTAAAGTCCAAAAAACTGGTACAGATGCCTATGGGAGGTTCATAGAAGCCCTTCCTCTTAGATAGCCAGAGGTTGGGATACAGGTTAACATACTAAGAATGAGTGGTGAAAGGTGCTACAAAGGATGCCCGAGAGGCTGTCATTTTTATTTGGGGTGCACAAGGACTCAGGTTGGCAGGGGGAGGGACACGCTTTGCACATTGTGACTGGCACCTCCAAAGATACACTGGGTATCACATAAAGCCCACCCTAGCAGAATCTCTCTGGGACTTGATATTGAGTGCTGCATAGTACATGGGGCAAGAAGTTTATTTCCTCTTCGTAGTGCTTAAAATCACCAAATCACTTTATTACAGATCTAAAACCAGCAGCCCAGGCTTCTGCTGGCTAATATTCTCTTGAAATAGACTCATTCCTTCAGAGTCTTATTGTACTTTCCCTTATGATCAAAATTAGCAAGAAACTTGCATAAAAGAGGACAATAATTGCTCAACGAGCATCTCGTTTGTAATTTATTAGTTTCTATTATTGTGGGTTACCATGGTGACGCTGCGCAGCCCCGGTGACGGGAGAGATGTAAGATAGGAGCTGAGGAGGCTGTGAGGCCTCACCAAATGGAGATGCACATTTTTATCAGTAATTTTCATGAAAATAATAAGTGAGGAGTTAATGAGATGGAAAGCCATCCTGTGGCTATTGTGAATTTTTTTTAAGTGTTGATCTAATTAGAATGCATCGGTCAGGAAAAGTAATGAGGATTTAGTGCCTCACAGAGATGTGAGGATCATATCAGAAAATTAGCACAAGTCTTTGGAAATAATCAGGTCCTTGGAGAGGCACTGGATTTCCCCTCCTGGGCCCTCTGACTCTACCTTGAGCTCTGGAGTTGGGGGTGTAGCAAGGTAGCAGGGGCTAGGGGTAAGGAAAGAAGGGCAGCAGGCTTAACAGCCACAGTGGCCCCTCAGGGTTGAGGGTCTGAGGCTGAAAAGCTAGGCTGAAGAAAACTGGGGTTTGCAGGAAAGTGGAGTTTGTAGGAAGGGGAATGTGGACTCTGGATGATCCAGGTGTCACAGCTGCTTCCTGTGAAAACCGGAGCTCTAGGAGCATGCCAGGATCAGTACCTCTAAGCTTTAAGGAAAGAAGACAGGACTCTGATTCCTATTACCAGAGCATCAGATCCCTGCCTAAGCAGGAGGCGGGCTCTGTGATAGCCCTTGCAGAAAGGCCTCTGATCCCAGGGAAAGAGAAACTCAGACAACTGGATGAAAACAAAGATACCCAGCCAGGTATTCCGACTTGGTGTAACTCAAGTTAGTCTCCACATTTCCTCTGATTGCCACTGCCTCCTTCCCTCAGGCTCCAGCAGGGAAATAAGGGAAGAGCTCATGCTCTCCAGCCTTCCCTGGCCATGCTTAGCCTTGCTCCACACCTGTGCTCCACTTAAGCGCCTGCTTATAGATTTGTCTCCCTGGAGTCTGTGTGCTCTACAGACCCTGACTGCCATAAGGGCTTTTGCATCTGCCCACGGGATAGTCAAGGCCTTATAGGTCCAGCTCCCATTCCTTGGCCAGACTGCTCCAGATACTGCAACCATTTCCCTATGCCTATCTGTTCAGGGAGCAGTTCTCCATACCCAGTCACCCTTCTTTACAAGGCCACACCAGCATCTTCCCCAGAGTAATGACAAGGCTACTCCTATGGAGGTATCTCTGACCCCCTTCCAGAATAGTCCTTTGCTTCTCTCAGCTGATGGTCCACCGTTAATGCAGCCAGCATCACATATTATTTTAGATGAGACAATGCATATCTGTCTCACTTTCCTCTCCTATATAACACATGTTGTTTGCATCGACAGCATTTTATATATTTGAAATCTCCAAACCATTTCACTGTGGATCTAAAATTAGCTGCTCATGCTTCTGCTTGCTAATAGTCTCTTGAAATAGACTCATTCCTTCAGTACCTGGCTGAGGCCATTGTGTCTTCTGTATGCTCGATGGCCAGTAGGCACTGGTTGACTAAAGTGACACAGTGAGGTGGGGGACAGGAGAAGGAGGAGGGAGGGGAAAAAAGAAAGGGGAAGAAAGACAAACACAGAGGGTTAGCATCTTTCAGGAGAGAGGTAGAGAAATTGAATATTGGTAGGAAAAAGCAGTGAAGAGAAGACAGAGTAACACCAACAGAGGCAAAGGGGGGTGAAGTGAGGGCAGAGGCTGAAAGACAGTTGAGAGAGGAATGGCCACTATAGTAGGACAAAGATTGTGAACCACCTAGAGTCAAGAAATTGATTGCTGAGAAGCAAGAATTTAGATTTGCTAATCAACTAGAAAAGGGGCAAAGAGGTAGAAGCCCAGAACAATCCTGAGGTGCTGGGCTTAGCAGCTGGCTAAGGAAACTGCTCTTAGCTTTGGGACTCTCCCGTGGCCTCTGGAGGAAGCTGCTAGTACATCTTCCCCATACAGGTGGGCTTCTCTCCAACTGGAAGGAAGCTCTGCTTTTCCAAAGTTGGCAGGGGGCGAGGGAAATGTGCACCAGTCGGACTTCTGTCCCATACTGAACATCCAGAGGACTTAGCTTGTGACTTTTCAGGCTAGGCAAGGACAAGGGAAGGTGGTCCACCTTGGAAGGATCATCACTTAGGTGAAAGTGACTTGTTCATAGTCTGGATGTATAGGATGAAGGCAAACAGGATGAGCCATGTGTGGTACCCCAAATCAAGCTCCTGTTGTCCCCCTGAGGCAGGACAGGACTTTTAGGAGTTCATCTAGGAAAGAGACCCTTGACTGCCAAAGGACATGAATCAGAGACTTTCAGTCAGTGTAAGAGGCAGGTCTCCAGAGCCAGCATGGGACAGGAAACTGAGTGGTTTGTGTGTGTGTGTGTGTGTGTGTGTGTGTGTGTGTGTATGTGTGGTACATGCCCTCATTTGTCACGCTCTAACCTTAATGTCCCCACCTGCCTGAAATAGCTGTCCTGAGCACTAGCCTGACCTGGGGAGGGGTGTTGCCCCTCTGGAACACGATCTTCCAGCTCAACATCCAGGCTGCCTGCCAGCTTTGTTGCAAACTGCTGCCTCATGGTTTTCCCTATGTGCTAATCATGCCTTGTATGGCAAGGTGGGAGACATTTTTGTTTTCCAATTGACAACCCCACTCCCAGAGGCCATGTTGTGCCCCTCCACTCACTCTGTGGGGTTTGGACTATTCCCCGATTGGCCTTCCATTTCTATACACCTCGGGTTTTCTCCGAGGTGGTAGAATGAAGGCAGGGAACTGGGAATACTGCTTCTGCCACACAGAGGAGCTAAGTAGTTTCAAGGATTTCAAATAGCTCATCACAGTTAGCTCTTTCCACCTTCCTAGGAAGCCATCCTGTCCTGCCCCCAGGCAGTGACACCCAGACATCCTGCAGAAGCAGCCTCCCCAGTAACACACTCTAGACTGGGCTGTGGGTTCTTTCTGCCCTTAGAGACAGAGCTAGAGAACCCAACTCTTGCCTCACTTGCTCACAACTAATTTGGTCTGAAATTCATCCCTCTCTTCATGAAAATTTAGACTTAGCTCTAGTGCAGGCAGATCAGACTGAGACTCAGTTCTCATTTGGTGCCAGGCATTTGGGAATGCTTACTGTTTGAACTGTTGGGTGCCTGTGAGAGCCCAGGTAAATCTTCCAGGAGGAACCCCGGGTCCTAGGGGAAAGGAGGTGTGAGTCTAGAATAAATCCTGTCAGGCACAGAATGCTTAGGACACAGAGTAAGGGAAAGGACAGGAAAGAAGCAGTTGAAGGGAAGGGAGGGGGGCTGAACGAAAAGATTCAGGACTGAGCATACCACCTGTGTGGTTTGGGATTATCCTCCTTCCCCCACCACTGAGAACCCAGGCCTGAGACCTGAGCTCAGGGCACATGGCCAGATCTGTTCCTGCCCAAAACAGTATGGACAAATTAGTGTGGCATTTTGCCCATTGCGGTGGGAGAAGCTTCAGTTTCATTGTGTGGGGGAAGGCTTCCTTGGGGAAGTAGCCTTTCTGGCAGGCTTGGGAGAGTTAGCCTGCTGGTGGCTCTAAAACTAAGTGTGCCTAGTACAGAAGAAAGTCTGGGAAGAGGTTAGGGACACATCCCTTCAGAATCCTTGGAGAGAAGAGTCATTCATTCATGCATCATCTATC